CCCGTTCCCCGCTCCCGTCCCCATTCCCCGGCCCCGCTCCCCGGGCCCCACCTGTGTCCCGGCGCTGTCGCGGAGGCCCCGCACGAGCCCCGGGAGGGCCCCGCGGTGCGGCGGCAGCGCCGAGAGCGCCGCCAGCGCCTCGAGCAGCGGCGCGGCCGGAGGGGCCGGCGGGGCCCGCGCCGCCGCCGCCGCCGCCATGGCCGCGCGTCTTCCCCGCGCGCGGTGATGACGTCAGCGCGCGGGAAAACCCGGGGCGGGGCTCGCGCGAGGGGGTGGGCGGGGCTTGGGGCGGCGCCATAAAAGGGAATTGGGGGCGTGGCCTGGGAGAAAGATTTAATATGGAAATTAGGGGCGTGGCCTGGAGGAAATAATTTATTTAAGGGAATTAGGGGCATGGTCTGTAGGAAATTAATCTGGTAAAGGTAATTAGGGGCCTGGAGGAAATTTAATATATTAAAAATAATTAGGGGCGAGGCCTGGAGGAAAGTGAATTTATTCTCGTAATTAGGAACGTGGCCTGGAGGAAAGAACTTATTAAAGGTAATTAGGCTGTGGCCTGGGGGAAAGTGAATTTATTATGGTAATTAGGGGCGTGGCCTTGAGGAAAGTGAATTTATTAAGGTAATTAGGGGCGTGGCCTGGGGAAAGTGAATCTATTATGGTAATATGGGGCGTGGCCTGTAGAAAGTGAATTTATTGAGGTAATTAGGGGCATTGCCTGGAAAAAATGAATTTATTGTGGTAATTAGGGGCGTGGCCTGGGGAAAGTGAATTCGTTATGGTAATTAGGAGCATGACCTGGGAAATCCCATTTGTAAAATGAAATCAAGGGCGTGGCCTGGGGAAAAGTGAATTTATTATGGTAATTAGGGGCGTGGCCTGGGAAATACAATCCATAAAAGGAAATTGGGGGCGTGGCCTGGAGGAAAGTGTGGGGTTTTTTTGTAATTAGGGGCGTGGCCTGGGGAGAGTGAATTTATTATTGTACTTAGGGGCGCGGCCTGGGGGAAAATAGAATTGTTATGGTAATTAGAGGTGTGGCCTGGAGAAAAGTGAATTTATTATGTAATTAGGGGCGTGGCCTGGGGAAAGTGAATTTATTATGGTAATTAGGGGCAGTTTTGGGGTGAATTTGGGGCGGATTTGGGGCGGTTTTGGGGTTGGATTTTGGGCGGTTTTGGGGTTGGATTTTGGGTGGTTTTGGGGTTGGATTTTGGGCGGGTTTGGGGTTGGATTTGGGGCGGTTTTGGGGTTGATTTTGGGGCGGTTTTGGGGTTGATTTTGGGGCGGTTTTGAGGTGGATTCGGGCTGGATTTGGGGCGGTTTTGGGGTCGATTTAGGGCGGTTTTGGAACGGATTTTGGAGCGGTTTTGTAGTGCTTTTGGGGTGGTTTTGGGCTGAATTTTGGGCGGTTTTGGGCTGGATTTGGGGCAGTTTTGGGGTTGGATTTTGAGCAGTTTTGGGGAGGATTTTGGGGTGGTTACGGGGCTGGATTTGGGGGCGGTTTTGGGGCGGATTTGGGTGGATTTGGGATGGATTTTGGGGCGGTTTTGGGGTGGATTTGGGTGGATTTGGGACGAATTTTGGGGCGGTTTTGGGGTTGAGATTTGGGCGGTTTTGGGGCGATTTTGGGGTGGATTTGGGGCGATTTTGGGGTTGGATTTTGGGGCGGTTTTGGGGTTGAGATTTGGGTGGTTTTGGGGCGGTTTGGGGCTGGATTTGGGGGCAGTTTTGGGGTGGATTTGGGTGGATTTGGGACGGATTTAGGGGAAGTTTTGGGGTTGAGATTTGGGCGGTTTTGGGGCGGTTTTACGGTTTGGATTTTGGGCAGTTTTGGGCTGGATTTGGGGCGGTTTTGGGGCTGGATTTGGGGGCGGTTTTGGGCTGGATTTGGGTGGATTTGGGACTGGATTTGGGGGCGGTTTTGGGGTTGAGATTTGGGCGGTTTTGGGCTGGATTTGGGGGCGATTTTGGGCTGGATTTTGGAGTGGATTTGGGGCGATTTTGGGCTGGATTTTGGAGTGGATTTTGGGCTGTTTTGGGCTGGATTTTGGAGTGGATTTGGGGCGATTTTGGGCTGGGTTTTGGAGTGGATTTTGGGCTGTTTTGGGCTGGATTTTGGAGTGGATTTGGGGCTGTTTTGGGCTGGATTTTGGAGTGGATTTGGGGCGATTTTGGGCTGGGTTTGGGGTGGATTTTGGGCGGTTTTTGGGTGGATTTTCGGCTGGTTTTGGCTGGATTTTGGAGTGGATTTGGGGCGATTTTGGGCTGGGTTTTGGAGTGGATTTGGGGCGATTTTGGGCTGGGTTTTGGAGTGGATTT